ATCACCGACTTTAAATAGTTTTCGAAGGTTAGTAAACATTATTTGGACTTATTATTTGCTAGTGATCCCGAATCAGATCAGAAGAATCAAAATCAGAGAAGATCAAAGTTATTGTAATTCTGATAAAAGCACCGAAGAACTTGTTCATTAATGACGGAAGTTCGATAGAAAGTTGATTCATAATTTACATATATTGGTGATTGTTGTAAATTATTGAAAGAAACGTTGAAATCGGAATAACTTTCGGTAGATTCTTTGATATCGCAGACTTCATTTTTGTTCCTATTAATTTCATTACAATCGTGCCGAATTTATTACAGTTTGTTGCCAAATGTTTTCGAGAGGTGCGAACGCATTTATAATTTTGTATCGTGTGTTTTATGTTGCTAAGGGGCATCAAATGCCATTAAGTACCATTTATAGACGCTACTTATTGGTTAAGAAAACACGTCAAAACGAATAAACAAATACTAAACATTCCGTGTCGGTACGGTAAGTAATCTTTCTTTCTAATGTGTTAATTCAGACAACGATAAACGATATAACATTCGTCACTGAAATAAGATCGTATAATTGATTACAACATGGGTTAAATCTTATCGCGGTGAACCTAACAGTTTCCGGAATGCTCGATTACACCTCTCACCAACTTATCAAATTCCTCTCGAGCAACGTCGGGTCAGTCGGGTCCAGTCGGCACATTATTGTTTAGAACTATGTCTAAACATTAATGTGAAATGTTTGCCACGCATTGATGTGTAGACAGACACATTATTTCGGCAATGTAGCAATTTTTACCACTCGTATGTGGGGTGAGCGACTCTACACTACATCAAAGTTGCAATATTAATATTTTTGACATTATTTTAGTATAGGTATGAGGTGAGGTGAGATAGTGTATCAGTTCCGCGCCCTGCAATAAAGATTAATATGGAAACTACCGATCGAAGATTAGCCATAGAGAAAAGTTATGCGAATTGTTGGTCTGTCTTGAACAAAGGTTACGGTTACTATTGTTTATTAAAAAGAAATTCAATTCATGAAAACTTGTTTGGTTTCTTAAAAATATTCCAAGATTGTTAGAGAAGACGTTCTTCTTTCATTAGGTATACGAAGTCCAAATATGTACAATGAAATTATAACTCGCAAACAATAGATTTACGTGTTCGCCGATGATTACAGCCACCCTTCCAGCGCACCCTACGTGACCGGCATACGCACGTTGACGGATGTTAGTAGACTCCGAAACAATAAGGGAACATTGGAGTAGGTACCTACATTCAATAATTCGACGTCCGCTTTCATATTGCCTTTAATATTATATTTGGCAATATTATATATTGTTGTGCGAGTCATGAACCTTTCAGATCCTTTGTTCGTTCAAACTCTAGCCGAATATTTTCTCAACCGTATCGCAGAATAGGTAACTTCATAAAATTTATTATTTAATGAAGTAATAAAGTTCCTTTGAAGATGACTTGAGATTGTGATTGGTCATCCAATTTCAATAACTGATATGAAATCTTCCAAATCATGAATCTGATTAATTTCGACAATGTTGCTAATCGATTTCGCAATTTTTGTGTGCAACTGTTTTTCAAAACATTGCTGAAATTTACACCGTTTCAATCAATATTAAGCCTGTTCCGAGTATCAATGACACTTCGTGAATTTATACCAACTCTATTCCCTAAAAAGGTTATCTTGGGTCAAAACTTTGCCGATCGAGTGTGTTCCATTATCCCTTTTTCAGCATCAGCGTATTCGTTAGAGGTCCTCGAGACAACTAGCTCGATGGAGGGTTCACCGTAGCAACGCTCCGCGTAATCGAGCTGTGACACGGTAGGTAGGTACCTACTTGAGATAGGTACCGAGATTCAAGTGGTTACTTTGTCTGAAGGTAAAATGTGACATAGGCACACCGGTATTTCCATACGTAACCCTACTCATTTTACTAGAAGTAAAAATGTAATGTTTTAAAACTATAGCCGTTTATTGGACAGAGGTCGAAGTGTAATTCCGAACACTGCTAACTCTAAAACTATTAGTCAAAATGCGCGAAGTGTTTATTGACTGGTTTTAGTGTGCCCATGATATTTATAAGCCCTTAGGTTGATGAAAAATAAATTGTTAATCTGCAGCACGTCCAGCAACGCGTTGTTTGACGAGGACTTTAGTGCACCATAAAACCAAGTATCTCTACATGGTGTAACCATTTAGGGTTTGTGCTAACTAATATTTATTATAATCTGTCGACAGGTAAAACATTTTGCCGCGTTATTGAGAGGCCTTATAGTGCATGTGCCGTACACGTGTACGCGGTAGCTTAGCAGACAGGCGGCAGATGTTTAGGCAGTAGGGTAGGTACCTACTAAGCGCCGAGGACTTGGAAAATTCGCGGATTCCACATCGTGGTTCGGTATTCAAGCTGGTTATGCAATTCTTTTTACTCCTCGGCCCCTCACTGATGAGGATCGCGACCACATAATATAGTGTTCCTCCACAGACAGGTTATGCACTAGCCGCGGGAAAACCGGACCTGTTCCATATGACCTGTAGTAAGCCTTTATACGTCCCGTTGCAGGGCACAGGTCTTACTCTAACTCCAGTGATAGCTCAGGTCACGCAGATAGGCGGAAGGTGCTGACTAGGCTTCACGAATAATACTCGTACCAATAAATATTAGCAGGAGAAAAGTTTTTGCGTGCCATTTGAAGCACGAAGATGCTAGTGACAATAATGCCAAGGGTCTGAATGGTCACCCATCCATTAAAGACCGCGGCGTAAGTAACTTTGGTAAGTAAGGGCCGCCGCCATTGTCTCTAAAAATCTGACCGCGCCTGTTGCTATGCCGAACTCGTGCGTCTCTAAATGAATAGCCAGGTCAAGTAGGTACCTACAGAAACATTTTAGCAAGTAGTCAACTGTAAATTGATAGGTATTTTGTCAGTCAATTTGCTCTTTTTTAATTAAAAATTATCACTCTAAGTATTGTAAGTGTATTGTCGATGATACTGAATAAACATTTTTTCTTTCTTTTTCTAATTGAAGCATTGGGTGCAACAAGGGCGTATCTCGTAAAATTGAGTTTCGAGAAAATTGACGATGAAAGTTTCAATGTCTTATATTTTTTTAATGTTTATAATTTGACTTACACTTACTTTATTATTTGTCAGTCCCATGATTTAGCAATAAGATTAAGGTATTATAACTATTTTAAAGCAATCGGAAACATCATAAAATGCGATTTTTTTTACTCGTGTTATCCGCCCTTGTTGCACCAAACTGGTAAACAGATAGGGCGTTAGTTAAATTTTTATTTTTTATGGAAAATAAATAACAATTTGAATACTTATTTTATTAATTGTAATTAAAATGTAAGTCAAACATGTGTATTTATTTCAATCACCGTTAAAATATTAAACTTTCTTAATATTTTTTTCGACTTTCGTGTTTTAATCAGATTTATCAAAATATTCACTAGACTAAAAGGAATCTTCCGAATCAGCTACAACTAGCCTGGAAGGTCCAGCCTGATCCTCCAGGCCTGTCTGGAAGGTCAGGACCAGTTTCAACCAATCATTTGGCTCACTTTTACTAGGTCCACGGATCAAGTCGCCGGATTAAATTTTTAAATATTTTCTTCTTTTTTAAACTGGTTGCCGCAGTTTCCAGAGCTAAAAAGGTGAACCTTCAATATTTTTGTTAATAAATTAAACACCAAATCAACACAAATCTACTCTAGAATCTTAGAGTGAGTCCATTTGCCGGAGGAATAAATAATTGAAAATTCAGTCTGGCGACTTGATCCGTGGACCAATCTAAAAGGGGGCCAAGTCACTGGAAGACTCAAAATTAGTCTTCAGTCATTTTTTACAATAATAAGTTTTTAAAAACTGCATACAGGTCGAATTTAAATGCACTTTTGTTACTGTGTGCAACAAGGGCGTAGCGCCACTTGTGACATAAATTATTCTCACGCCATCAGGGAGCGTCTGATCGAAACCAGTTTTTGGGATGTTAAACTAGATGGTACAGTGCATGTTTTGATATAATAACATCAAAACGGACTTTCGGTACCGAACGCCCTTGTTGCTCCCAATGCTTCAATTACAATCTAATTGGATATGGATCACCATTTCTTTTAATAAAAATCTAATTGTAAATACAAATAGCTATAGCTTTTTGTGAATGGTATCATACAGACCTATCATGAGAAAATCCGAAAACCCACTTTAGATCCATTGTTTTTATACAAGTGCATTGAAAATGCAGCAGTGGTTTTTACATTGATCAAGTAAAATTATACAAAATACAAGAGGTAAATTAGTAAAATGTAGACAACTAGAGATGTAGACCAAGTTGTTTACGAGAAAAAGTTTATTTGTATTCCGAATATAGGTACAAAGTACAAACGGTCACATAAAAATTATATAACACAATAATAATTATCCTCGTGATATCTATAATCTGATATGAAATATATTTGCAATGACCATCATCATTGATATGGTAGTTTATTGTAAAACTAATGGTCATAATAATCAATGCATTACCGTCCCAAATAAAGTTAATTAATTTATTTTGTATCAATGAATACAGTAACGAAACGGAAACATTTCTTATATGATTCAGGAAGAAGATTTTTGAATCATATAGGATTGGTCCCGTTCCCATTAGACAATGTATGAAAATGCGGACTCTTGTTTTCTTTTGTTAGCTAATCTTGAGGTTATTATTTCTAACAGTGCAAACCAAACCAAAAGCTATCACTAACTAAAACTTAGCTTTCTGTTTCATTGTATCTTACTACTACTTAGTGCAATTTGTATTGATACAAAGGATAATTGAATGTTTTGTGGGTAGTCCACATTAATGTGCTAATTTTTACTCTAATTAATGATAAATTAAAGTTTCATGCCAGTAATTGACTATGTTGATACAACAAGAGGATCTGCAATACCCACACAGTCATCAGCTTTGTTTGTTTAGGTACTTACACAACCATCCCGTACGCTCCTTCCCCAATATACTGGAGGTTTGTGTATCTGGGGCCCACTTCGAACACCTGGCCACGCACTATTTCCGCGTTGGGGTTAGTGCCAGCGGCGGCTGCTGCTTCTGCCATCGCGACACACTCCAGATAACCACCAACGAACTGTTTACTGTAACTTCACCACAGAGCGTTCACTCCAGCACAAAATCTCACACGGTACACTAGATGACAGCGTCAAGAGCTGATAATTATCCTCAGATTTCTAGCAATTAACAAAACAAACTACCTATAACCGACCTACATTATCCACTTGGAACAAATAGTCCACTTGTCACTCGCTTATCATTCTGTTTGCCCGATCGCTTGCCCAACAGTTGGACACTCCCGTACAGACGCAGTACCGTTACAAAAATGAGCCAGCAAGACAATTTATCGTCTGTCCCTGTCCCACAAAGAATTTGGATACATCACTATTCTAATCCAAGCAAAAAGTATCAATATCGTTTTGGCAGAATAACGAACTAGCGTTATTGTTATAGACCATTGCAAATGTAATTTTGGTGAGTTTTTCACGTGAAAAGAAGCCGTATTTGCTGCAAATTGATGTTAATGGTGAAGTAAAGGCTAAAGATAATCGTCAAAAGTGAAAATTTCCTGAAAAAAGTTGTTCATTTATAATTCAGATGTTAATCGTCCGTGGCCACCCTTATGTGTCTATGGTCAAATTATTTTTTTTGAATGACATGACAGCTGAGCTGCCTGACATTGACATTGCAATTTAACTGACAGTTGTCTCGGTTTTCCTGATGATGATGAGTTGTTTGAATTCTTCAATTTTGTAGGAATTGTAGGTAATAACATACTATTTCCCAAAGTTAAGTGGTTCCACGATGTTATTAATTGATATACCCTAACCATTTGTCATAACCACACGCTGTGAGTTTCAGTTTCATGGCATAACTGCCTGCATTCGTAGTTCTAGTGACCTCGTCGTTTGAGTCGAAGGACTATCGTGCGATTTGTTTAGGTATGTCGGTTTGGTCAGTCAGTACAGTTGGGAACAATTACCGATACGTACATTCAGCTGGCCGTAACAGTAAAAGTGGTAGCTGGTGTCCAAAGGAAAAAAAGGTAATACATCACCTGCTAGTACACAATAATTGTGTTTTATAATGTATTTACCTACCTACTATTATTTTTATTTGCTCACAAACCCTTTTTCTTTTCAATAATTCAACAATTCTGTCTGATGTTTGTAAGTTGTAACTTTGTTATTGATTCAATACAACACATAAAAATACACTTCTTGATATGAAATCTTGATTTGAATAATAGGTAAAATGTTTTTTGTTATTCATTATTTTATTCTAACAATTTAATTGATAAATCGTTGCTAGTGCTACAATCATCATTTTTCCTAATAATTTATTCTATGTTTGCAAATAATCTGAATTATTTACTGCCAATTCTTCTGTTTTGCACTTGCATGACAAAATTTATTTTGTTTTTTAATATTTCAAACACATTACACCTAGTCACAGTTGAAGGTGAGCAGTAACATTGATAGTGTTGGGTACAGAATGATTATTTTGTTTAATATTTTTTTCCTGTAGTCGTAGGTGTCACTTGTTTTTTGAAACCTTCGGTTTTGTGAAACACTGAAGCAGAGAGCTCAACTATTCCTTTGTTACAAAGAGTGAGTTGACCACTAGTGATAGTTGGGAAAAGGGCTAATATCATGCTGATCACATTAGTTTTTGAATTTTATTTCTTAGATTTTGTCAGTGAATATGTTAGGGATGTTGAGAAGATTTCAATACATTTTAAAATTAGTATATCATAGCCACACTAAAATAATTATTTGATAAGCTTATCATAATATTAATGTAATAAAGTTTTATTTTTAAGTTAATGTAAATTGTACCTATCTGATAAATAATATGAAACTGTTATGATAAGCTTATGCATTCAACATCCCTAAGCATAATCAATATGTGAGAGTATTTTACGTCTGCTTATATTTTCAGTGCCTTCATTTATGGTAATTCGAGACCTTATTTAAAAAATATTCACCACTTTATTTACAATACTCATCTTCATACCACAAAGGGGTTTGGTCATTTGGGTTCAATCATACATCGAAATGTAAGAATTATTTAAATGCTTTTTGTAATTTAATTTGCATGCTTTTATTTATTGCTATATTAGTTACTAAAAACCTAAATGTGACTAACTTTTGCACACTTGAAAAAGAATATTATTATAGTAGAAGTCACTATTATAACACTGTTAACATTACATTGTAAAATTGTAATTAATAAAAACAAATATATCTATTTTCTTAACATTATCTTTATGCACAAAAATTGCACTAATTAAGTTACAATTTATTTTATACAGTATTCCTTCTGTAGATTCTTTATACCTACTAAAACTACTAAACAGTAGCTGGAGTAATTTGTTATTTTTTTGCGAATGTTTTGCTAATTTTGTGTTGACATTTGACAGCACAACTGCGCGATGTCAGCCGAAACGCCGCTGCAGTCAGCTGACGTGCTGCACACGCCAGCGTATCTCTCCTGGAGGAAGCTTCAGCTCAGCCGCGCTAAACTCAAGGCCTCCAGCAAGACGTCAGCCCTTCTGTCTGGGTTTGCCATGGTAAGTATAAGAATGTTTAGACAATTGTTATAAATGTTAAGCTGTTCCAAAAATCCATTACTTAGGGCGTCCGCTAAAACTCGCGCCGTGTGCGTATAGCGGGCGCACGCACCGCGGGAGTATATTTCCGTGCTTGTAAACATAAATAGATAGGCGCTCCGTGAACCCGCGCAAGTTTTTTTTGTGCATAAAAAGCCTGATTTTAAGTGGGATGCAGTCTAGGATGGTAAATATCTGCCCTGTAAGTGCCTATTCACTCTCGCCTTAAAAAGACCCGGATTATAAGTCTTCGGGAAAGACAGCAGCAGGCAGCGAATTCCAGTCCCTAGCTGTTCGCATTATAAAAGAGACATCGAAACGCTTAGTGCTAGCTGGTGGAATGTTAACTTAACAATATAGGGATGGTACGCTAACCTGCATCTGGTTCCCCGATGATTGGAAGGGGGCTGGTGGAATTAGTTCGTGCAATTCTTTCGCACATTCTCCGAAGTGTAGCCTGTAAAACCGAGGGATGCTACCTTACGGCGATGATAAAGTTCCTGGAGCGACGCTTCAACAAGGGTGGGGCTGTCCATAAGTCTCTGGCATGCCTTTCCACCGAATCCAAAGCAGCCAAATGTGTCTTGGCAGAAGACTTGGAAGAAGTTTTAGCGGAGGCCGAAAGCTAGCCCTAAACTTAACGATCTCAAGCTCTCCGATATAGTTAAAATCGCTTCTTTCTTTTTTAATATAAAAGGCTTTAGGATTCCAACGTTTATGTTAACAATACTATATGTGCCGGTAATTAGATAACATTGTTTTAGCAGCTCAATGGAGTAAGGTCGGTTAGGCTCCACAGTTCCACACTAGGAGGACAATATAATAGGCGAGCGAGACAGTAAAAAACAAAACAATCTGCCACAAAATGTTTTCCTCAATTGATTTTGAAGGCACGTTCGCCGTTCGTTATACCCATAAAGTTAATAACTTTATTATTAACTTTATGGTTATACCTTGATGAATACATTCTTTTCTGATAGGTGACCTGACACCGACTACAAAAAACTTATTCACCACAGGTCGCCATGGTCGAAGTGCAGCTGAACCCGCCCCAATCGACCGCGGTGCCCACCGAAATGCTCGTAGCCTTCACGGTATGTACCACTCTCCTCGTCGCGGTGCATATGCTGGCTCTCATGATCAGCACATGCATCCTGCCCAACATTGAAGCCGTGGGCAACCTGCACAGCGTCTCCCTAGTCCACGAATCTCCACACGAGAGGCTCCACTGGTACATCGAAATCGCTTGGGCCTTCTCCACGTTGCTGGGACTCATACTATTCCTTGTAGAAATCGCCATATTATGCTGGGTCAAGTTCTACGATTTAAGCGCGACAGCAGCCTGGTCGGCGTGCGTCGTGCTTATACCAGTCATGATAGTCTTCCTTGCATTCGCTATACATTTCTACATGTCCCTCGCGACGCACAAATACGAAGTCACTGTCACAGGGATCAAAGAGCTGGAGATGCTTAAAGAACAAATTGAAATGGAAAACGACGCTCGCATGAACAATCTCAGCTTGTCAGACCAGGGTCGTATCGTCTGATCGTGTTTTTTATCTCATGTCTTCTTTTGGAATGTTATTTTTACTTGTTAATGTTAATATTATACAAATAAAGTTATACAATTTATTTAAGTTTAAGATGCATATTTAGGCCGTGTGAGTTACGAGGGGTATCATTATTAAGCGCGAAATGGGAATTTTAAGTAATCAAATCATGTATTTGTATAACGTGACAGTACATTTAAAGCTTTGTTCATACAGGCTGTCTAAAAAAATGTTTCCAATAAGCTCGTGACTTAAGTACGTTAAAGTGATTTACATTTTAAAGAATATTATTTTAAGGTGACAAATGTTTTAATGCATTAGAATCTTGACAATTCAAATTATTTTAATTACGAATTCAATACTTTTAAGTGGTTGAAAGATCCTCTGTAAAAGAGAACGAGGACAAAAGCTTGATTCTACTGCCGTCTTCCGCATGACACTATTTTTGGGACACGCTGTATAACGCGTTACTCCCATGGGGCAGTTTTACATGTAATATCTTTATTCTATCCTTCGATAGTGATGGATGAGACGTAAAATACGTATTTCCAATGTTATGCCATGGCCAATGTATAAAATTATTGTACTTAGAATATAGTTTGTACTTATTCGAACCATTTACTTACGATATAATTCAAAGCTCATTTATTACGTGGATAGTTGAATTTATTTTACCTTACTATTATAGTTATTATTATAATCTCACAATAGACATATTATGCAAAGATTATTAAGTAAACCTATACTTATTCTTGTTTTTTGACATGACAACGAATCTCACAGTGTTAATGTCTCGTTTATGTGAGCAATTGCATATTATTGTTCCTAAATACTGCGAAATGCAAAAGATAATTAATATGCGACAAGTTGTGTGAGTCAGTAATTAATAAAGACAAACAAATTACTTATGTTAGGTACTTCATTGAAACAGGTGGTACTTTTATGGTTTTATGCTATGTAATTTTATTGTTATTTGTGTGTTCGCGTTTTTTCTAGACCTTTCCTTATGTTATTACAGGGATGTTATCACCTCTCATGACATTTTGTAGTAAAATATGTAGCACTATCCAAACCCCCATTAGTAGCCGGGTGAAGGGGTATTCGGAATTCAATAGATATAATCCTGTATGGATTTCTAAAGATCTATCATGCGCTATCACTTTCAAATCGAATCTTTTCATTCTTATAATTATTATGTAATGTGTCTATCTAGAATTCGACTAAGCCTTATTAATCAATATTTAGCTAAGACATCTTTTAATTACAGATTACAGTGCCTTGGACATCATTTTTAATTAGTGGGCATGTAGCTAATAATTTGAGACATGTTGATACTTTGCTTAACATTCAGAATTATCTTGTGAAACATTTTATTTATGTGGTAATTTAATTAAAGAGAGACCGTATCTTTTAAATAAACGGTAGCAACTGTGACAGCAGACGGAATATTATTTTCTTTCTATGTTTTACTTTATTTTATACTTTCAAAGTAACATTCGCCACATATTCAAATTCGTACGTAATCGCTTGGCTACGTAACTGTTGTGTATTAAAGAATTTAGCACGAGTGTTACTATGCATAGGAGAGGCTGGTCGACGATTCACGTACGATTTGTAAACTTAATCACTATTTGTTACAAGTATTTCGCGTGGCTATTGTGATTTCTTCCCTTTTGAAAATTTACGCTCTTTTTATAACATAAAGACGACTTATTGTCTGACCCATCAGTCTTCTGGTTGAGTCAGATGTGCGTGACCTCCCATTGTTCCTATTACGGCTCAATAAATGATTTAAAGCCAACGAGCTTGACATACCACACTCGTTAGCCCAATAATGAATACATGTAAAAAACCGGCAATCATTAGATCACAAAGATGTTGGTTTGGTGCCTAAATTTAGCCATGGTCAATTCGGCTAGCTACTTATTAAGGAAAATCGGTTGTAAAATCATTGTATTTGCCAAAAACCTAATTTAAGTTCTGCTAAGATTGTAAAAAGGCGACACAATTGTCACGTGTCCTTTATTCCCGTATGCCACCACATCATTAATTGTCAACGGGGTGGCATATGATACTAGATTAGTCGTGCGTGTCACCTCATGGTGCATGTTGTATGTTACCATAACACTAAGCATAGAATTCGTCTTGCTTTTATATCTAGTATAAATTCTGTTGTACAAATAACGTAGAAATACTGTTTTTTGTAAGTTTTTATTAAAATTGTGCCTTTTTTAATGACTGAAGCAATCATCAGGTTTAAGATGTCCGGCACAGATATATCTATATCTGTGATGTCCGGTGTATTTAAATTACTTACCTAAGACAAATTTTGCTGGCATGTACCAATTCGTCATATTAAAATCAAGCAATAATATTGATGTAATGATTGTATTTTATTTAAACCAATAAAATAAGGTACTCTGTGATATATTAATGACTTGTATTAAATCAATTTAAATTTAGTATTTAAGACATATTTGTTCATATTAAGTAGTGTCTACATAAAATTTTATAGCTAATAATAATATTATGCCTATGTATAATATTCAATTGTATACATACCTACTTAATTGTTTTGTTAACCGAAAACCTAATACATTTGATCTATACAAAATTTGAGTTTTTTATCTATTTCACCTATCTTTTGATTTAGCCAAAATTCACTTTCCTCTAAAATTTTTCCTGAATCTTGTAGCCCTTCCTGAAAAAAAAAACAAACAAATGAAATAAATTACATGCAATCCTATACCATAATAATATTAAGCTGTATTGAGTAACGTTTACTATCTTTATGTAGATGCCTAGAGGTACTTAAAAAAATCGTGAACTTCATTATCACGCCGATTCTTTATAGGTACAGCTTATTTATTAACAGTCAAGTAAAAAATGTTTATGTAAGCGCGTGTATTCACAATCACGACCACAGAAACCACGACATACTGGTAAGTAGGTGGTCTAGCTAAAAGAGCTAAACACTACTTTTGTTTCCATAAAGTAGTCTGCCTGTAATGCTAGTTTACAAACCTCGCGCTGGTCTATTCCAACCTCGCGCTGGTCTATTCCAATTTGATCACCCAGGTGGTCAAAGTGGCACTTTGGTGCCCTTTGGAACCCATCACCCATGGATAAGAAGTCCACTTTGATCACCTAAGATGAACTTATCCACGGGTGATCAAAGGACACCACCAAAGTGTCGCATGAAGTCCACTTTGATCACCCAGGTGATCAATTAATGTTTAGAGAAAGTCATAGCACTATACTCTCTTTAATTCTCGTAGAAAGATTACGATTCTGTGTTACTACTTATCCCTTTTCTTCGTACTTACTTTAAAAGACTTGCAAGTATTTCATATAAGTAACTTACCGGTGGTATGGAATACTCCGTGGGTCGTTCGCAGCACTGGCGTATGATGATGTCCGACACCTTGGACTTTACGCACACGTTGTGGACCCAGCAGCCTTCCTGCAGTTGCCCCGTGTGCATGTGGTAGAACCGGCCTAGCCCGTGTTTGATGTTGCCCTCCCAATGCCCTTCGTAGCGGTTGCCGTTCTCTAGTTTATAAGAAAGAATTAACAGTTAAAATGATGCTTTGTAAAACCCACTGTGCCTATTTAGATTGAAAACCGTTATTTCCTTCGCAATTTGTTTGTTACTTATTGCAAATCGCAGAAACAGCATTTAAAAGTTCGGTGAAAGATTAACGTGTCTGTTCGCCTAATTTACGTAGATAAATAAGTAATCTTCAAAGGACAGCAAGAACAAATGCCTTTCTAATATTAGTCCAATATGCCGATTACTTACTAGAGTAAACAAACAGCATTGCTTCAGCATTCAGCTTTTATCTCGGAAAAATAGGAAACATTCGGTTTTGTTTACCCACTTAATGAACGTTATCTAAATCTAATCAAACAAAGACCGTCTATGCCGAGTTATCGGAAATTACACAATCGACTGACCGAATTGTTTAGTAGGAAGGCTCTATGTATCGTTGATATAATTAAATAGGACATCTAATAAAAATGGAAGTCCTACGCTCGTCCTTTGGTTTTGAACATGGTATACTAATAAAGTACCTACAATCTACAATAAAGGACGATCTGAAAGAAAAATAACTCACCCTGTATAAACATACCAAGCCCCTCCCTCTTGCTCATGTTCCAATAACCCACGTAAAATGTCCCATTCTTGTACCACATCTTGCCATACCCGTGTCGCTGGCCCCTTTTCCAGTAGCCAAAGTAAACGTCCCCGTTCTCATAGTACCGCCACCCAATCCCCTCTGGCTTGCCACGTATCCATTCACCACGGTATTCTAAACTATAGGTCCCATTTAGATTTTTGTGGCTGAGCGTCCCAAAACCATGTCTACAGAAATATTGAGATATCTGATCAGGGATAACGTAATTCAACAAATGCAGATAAATGAAACAAGTAGGTACCTCCTTTACCTACCTGAAACCTTTATACCAGTCTCCTTCGTACAATTTTCCAGTGATTGTATGAAATAAACCTTTGCCTGAGAAAATACAAAAGCATTTTGTAGAGCGAGACTGTTGTATTGAGTGGAGAAAAGAAGTCCATCGCTGGACAAAGGCCCCACATTAGGCTGTTTTATTTAGTTTTCCGTTTGTCGCATCTTCTGCCAGCGAGCGACTTTTTGCAAGTTGCCACTCCGCCTAGCTGGAGGACGTTCTACATTATGCTCATGATACATTAGCACAGCAAGTGTTCACCTTCTTTCAAGTCTTTATTCCATTCACCAACATATTTATCAAACCTCGACGTAAATATTGAATGGTGTAAGCCGTTCTTGACTGCTTTCTTTTCGGCAGCAATTAATAACGGCGTGAAGTTCCTTGGTTTTCTATAAAACGGCATGATTTAATTTAAAATATCGGCAAAGCTAACTTATTTGTAAACATCTAAAATTATTTTGAAACATGTCACGATTGTCACGGCAAAGTGTTGTGCGCCATGTCATTGAAACTTTTTTGTATTATTTTAAAAATCAAAGAACCCGGATCCAAGTAACCACAGGAGACACACACTGACCAAGTGTGTTCTTACATTACGTTACCGTAATACCAAACAAAAACAATCGGTTGATAACACGCGGTATAAAAATGAAGCAAGTTCTAGTAGAATAAATAAAAACAAAAAAAAAAGCTATAAAATGACTACCTACAAGTGTTTAGCTAACCCTCCTCTGAACACCCTGTATATTAACTACAAATCGATACGAAGTAGCAGGCACAGCAAGCCCTCAATGAAAGACTAGTGTTACTGACACTAATTATATTGATTAATAAAATTAACATAGCATACTAATCCTAATTCTAAACGCTTCACGCATTCCCGTGCGCCTTCTGCAAGCCTCGACTCAAGTCCATCAACTGCTGATAGTGCTCTCTGAAGCCCTGGAGCGCTAGTTCTTGTTGGCTCTTCATGGCAGAGTTGCTGACTATGTACTTCTCTATGCACTCTACACATTTGTTGTCGAGCTGGATGTCTTCTTCGGTCAGGCGTTCAGGTTTGGCCAGCTGGATTGGTGTGGGTAGAATCTGAAACAATTGAGCAATGATTTCAGTCTACTACTGCATCCAAAACTTAACCCTTGAACAGGCATAACATGGACCAATTTTTCATTGTTTTTTTTTCTGAATATAGTGGGAAATATTCCCACTGTCTTTTAAAGAATTAAAGATGGAAAAGTACTTATGTATATTTCATTGGGCGTATGTAAGTGAATCCTGCTTGAAACTCATAAGAGTGAAAGATATACAAGTGTAAGATCTGAGATGGTTCCTATACAATACATAGACCGCATTTTGAGGAATGCGTCCAACAATCTCAAAGACTGAATAGCTATATATAGTTATCTTTTGTCAGATAAAGGCATTTTTCTTCCGGCAATATTTTATACTTATGTTAACAATGTTACCTCATTTGCTATAGCCTGTGCGGTCTCTCCGTTAGCCACGTCGGCTTTCAATGCGTGGCGCAGTGCATTAAGTAGCACAGCCTCGCGCACCCATCCGTTCTGAAGCAGCTCCAGCATCAGGCTGTCCATACTCTCGTGCCAGGTCAGGTAGAATGCCATTGGCCCAAAGTGCCTTGTAGACCTGAAGTAAAAAAACAAAATTCATAAATGTTGTGAAAATATCTTTAAATTCTATTATGAATCATTTTCACACTGTATTCAGAACAATTGAATAATATAATCAACATACTAGCAGGCCTGTTCATCTCCGCGAGTTTACATCGAAAACACGCACAATGGCCCACCTACAGGATACTATTCGACAAGGCCTCACATACGAGCGAACATTGACTCACGCACGCGTATTCTTGTGTATGATGGAAGAAAATAAAGAAAATGGTGTACTAAATACTGTGCAGTATTTAACTGCCTAAATAATAATAAAAACACAGAATGTACTTTTTTAAGTTGCCTCAAGACACTGAGAGGTAAATAAGTAGTTATTATTCGTGATAATTCATGCTAAATCATGTATTTCCTCCGCCATTTTCCGCAGTTTCGCACCTCACGTCACATCATTTTACCGAAGTCAGCCCTATAGCTTCGGCGCAGTGCCGATCACTGACGTTTGTCAACAAAATGGTGCTTGACTCTTGAGACAGGCTAAATTACACCATATTGTTAATGACATTGAGCATACATTTTTTTAAATACCTTCGCGAAGTAAAACTTCTGTACGTAGTACTTATTATTATTCTGTGATACTAGTCCAGACTCTACCAGTTGCAAGATTCACATGATAAAAAAAACTATTTTAAAGTCTGGTCTGGTTATATGATGTGCAAAAAGTTCTAAGATGTAATGACTGGATCCAGTTACATACATGGTTACTTAGTTTTTACCTGTAAAAATAAATGTTTACCTTAACAATTCATAATTTTTGTTCACATCAATATGTTGGTATGTAATGCTGGTGACCCTCTGGTAACTGGCTTCATCAGGCTCGTACTGAATGCAGGCGCGATCCAGCACAAACTCATACTCCTGCCTGTCAAGAAGGCTGTTGAACTTCTCTTCGTTTGTGAACATGATTGGTTCTTTAATTTTACGTCCAGGGATTGGGAAGTATGTCTGGAATATAAATTAAGTTTCACAATATGTAATAAAGCAATAATATCTACTAGTACTTTGATGACAAATCAATCAAAAATAATTGTAAACAATTCAATATTAGGTATTATCTTACAAACAAAAACATATTTTTACTATACCTGATTTAACCTTTTTCTAACGTCATGATCGCAATGGCGAAGGATGCCATCAGGGTCCCTGAAATAGTTAATTGGCATTTTAACAATTCCTCAGGCCATGAGTTAATTGATACCTACTTTAGAAATTACAGCAATATCACATGTTATGAGTAAGTTCTAATACAACATCAGCATAAAAGCTGGTGGACCACAATACCTTAAATAAAAACGATTTAAATGTAAAAGTAATTAAATTAAAACTATAGTTACCTTTCAACAATAAGTCTGCGTTCATTAGCAATACCAAAAGTGATGTCTGTAAACAAGTATTTTGATGTGTCATATCCAATTAACGCTGGATCATTAGATAATACTTCATTGATTGGTTGCTGGACCTGGAAAATATTTTCACATAATATGTAAAAAAAGTTTTTAATAAAACTTTTTATTAAAAACTTGTTTTCTCAATTTAGGTGTCTAGAGAACTTAAATACCTTGACTACTGGTGGCATTTGTAAAAGAACATCAGCTTTTTCGTTAGCTTTTTTAATTTCCGCTTCTAGCTCTTCATTTGTGAGAAATTTATAGGTCGGTGTTCGAAGCACAGGGAGCCCGCTGCTAGTCCTCTTGCGAAACACTTTGCTGAAGTCCGGTCGTGTAAGCCGTTTCAATAAAACTTGGACATTAGATGAAAAGAACTTTGGGGCTGGATCGTCTTTGCCATCTAAAATATAAATAAATTATATCATAGAGCTCGTAATATAAGAAATAATTCATTTCCTACAGATTGAATTTGTTTACATCTTACCATAAATAGAAGGCACTATACTCAAATTTCTATGAGAAATAGTAAATAACTGTAGTTCAATATTTCTTGTAATTACAAGTTTTATATTATTTTGCGCTACTTTACTAAATAAAAAGGTCATTTTTATAATTACAAGAAGAAATGCAAAAATAACCTAAAAGAATGTTTTTTTTTTCAATCAGTCATTTCTTGCACAGAATAAAATAAAATTAAAAAAGATCTTCATATAGTTTATGGTAAATTCATAGGGATGTAACCACTACTCTACTATTAGTGGTATAGTACTAACTAGTGGCCCACTAGTTACTTAGCTCATTGTTTTTATCTTGCAACACTGAAACGGATGTCATGTCATTTTTTTTATCTGTATCTATTTGTCAATTTTATGTCAAATACTCGAAGTGCAGTTGCGTATTTACTTTGCATTTTTTCGTGTAAAAATTAAGTAAATTTGGGAAATATCTTATTAGAAATTGTGTTTGATGCTGTATTTGTGTAAATATGTCGAAGCGAAAGGCTGTTATGAAAGATATCATTTATGAATTGGACAATGAAGACATCGAAATTAGCAGCGACGATGAAGCTAAAGAAGCCAAAATTAATCGTTTAGAGACAAAAACCAGCCATAAAACTGATAAAAAAACTAAGGAGGAAGAAAATAATTCAGTTATAACAATATTGGACACCCCTGAGAAGTCATTACCCGAAAAACCGTCCCACATTAATACCAATAGTAATGGAGGGAAAATATCACCCGACGATAGTTTCGTAGATTTGGTTAATGATAGTAATCCAGACTTGAAAGAGACTGAAGACCAAGTAGATAGTACTAGTAAACTAAATGCTGAAACCAATAAAACAACTATTTTAGATGAAGACATAGTAGTTGATTCACCCACTTCCACTAGTGATTTAGGTGTTGTTGGATGTGAGAATAGAACTCCATTAGTGACTGTAAGATTCAGAGACCAGAAATTGGCTTCGAATTATAAAAATAAAATTAAAGCATTTATGTTAAGACTGATTAAACTACATGACAAAGAGAGTTCATCAGACATAGAAAGTGAAACGGACATTGAACTGGACATTTGGCCTGAAGATTTAAATGATGATGGTGATTCCATTACCGATTTGGAGAAACCCGAACCAGAAAATAATTTGTTCTTTATTGACACTGAGGCTTGCTCAATACCCGATGAAATACCAGCCTACATAGAGGTAATATCGACTATTAAGTATTATTAAAAAACTTGATCTGTCTACAATAGATCTCCCCTCACCAGATGCTATTCATCGTCACATGATAAATAATAGCAATTATATCTAAAAAGCAAAGCAAGTCTGGAATTGATTATTATCATCTTATTTTGCTTTATTCCAGGCTTCAACAGTGATATCAAATCCTGTTCTTAAAGAACCAACTCCTCCGCCCACGCCTGGTCGTCGACCTGTGGTTTGCTTTAACTGTGACGGTGCTCATCAGCTGCGAGAGTGCAAGCTTCCTAGGAACTATGCCAAGATCAATGATAAACGCAGAAATATGACTACAAGGGTTGGGTATGTTTAAAATGCTTTCTTATCTATCTATATCTATAAATGCAAAAGGTCACTAACTTACTCATCACGAAATGTCGGAAACTACAAGTGCTGGGAGTCTCAAATTTCACATGGGGGATCCTTTTAGAACGTAACGGAATTTTACGAAACTCCACCCCTAAGGGAATAAAACGGTACGGAGCCACGCGTACGAAGTCGCGGACGGTCGCTAGTTATGTTTAAAATGAAGTCTTTCTAAACAATATAAATACATGAAACCAATTGTTGTCATACTTATTTTAACATTTTGAAAATATTTTAGGCGATACCATGTTGAGGATGAACAGAAATATGGCCATCTTACTCCTGGCCGGATCTCGGGAAAACTCCGCGATGCCCTCGGTCTGAAGAGACATGAGCTACCCCTCTACATTTACCAGATGAGGTACCTAGGATACCCTCCTGGATGGCTGGAAGAAGCCAGGATTTCTCATTCGGGGATCACTATGTTTGATTCTACTGTAAGTATAAAATACTAATTTTATCTTGATTTTTGCTAATTTTATTTGCATGCAAAAAATATAACAGGCACTATGTGAAATCTAATTTGCATAGCAATCTCACATTAGTTCAAATTCAAAATCTTTATTGCATTTCTATATTACATTATATTAGTGCCCGTTTTCACCATTAATCCCTAATTTTTAAGTGACCCTTATATTAACACATAAGTTATGAATTTTGTTTACATAGGGGTCAATTAAAAATTAGGGATTGATGGCGAAAACGGGCATGAGTCTCATCTTCAAATAGTTTTGGTTAGTATCCATACTAACCAAAACTGGTCCACCAGTTGGGCACAGCAAATTCTTAGATCCCTGCTAAGTTGTGTAAATCTGTCATTATTCCTATATTCCACAATGCTCTCCAAGTAAAAGTTCCAATTTATCAAGAAATTCAAGTAGCTGTTAATGTATTTCATGTTATTTCCAGGGTGCTGCTATTTTAGACCCTGAAGAGGAAGAGGGCGAGGTGTGTGAGCCGGGCTGCAAGGACAAGTTCGACATCAAAAAGATCCTGGACTTCCCCGGGTTCAATGTGCCATTTAGTTCAAGATACAAGGAGGTATTATCTTGCTTCTATCACAAAATAGGAACACAAAGTGCGCTCGCGCAACGCACACATAGACAACGCTCCAGAACACGATATCGCCAATAGTCGCAAACCAGTCTAAACCAGTGCGAGCGCGAATGCCGCCCGCTTGTGACGCATCTGTATGCGTATGAAAAAGTAGTACATACAGGTTGTTGTCAAAAACAATATTGTCTTCTGTCTGCTACTATCTTTTTTGTGTTTCTACTGTACTGTATTATTATTTCTATGATTGTCTTTAGGAATGAATAGAAACAGCTATTTAAACTTTAAGTGAAATTGTTATAATTATTAGTAATTATTACGTCATTAAACAGTTATAAATTTTTCGACCTTAGGGGGCGTCCATAAATTACGTGAGACAATTTTGGCTATTTTTCAACCCCCCCGCCCCCCTTGGTGAGATTTGGTGAGATTTTGCCTGACCCCCTCCCCCACCCCCTAATCTCACGTGATATTTAAAAAAAAATCGAAATTTAATAGTTTTTGAGTAATTTAAAAATTTAAGTTTTTTTTTGTGTACTTAGTGCGAGTTTCATTTACCGTTGTTGCTAACGAGTGCATCAAAAAGATCTATAAAGTTTAAGATTTTAGTTCTTGAAAGTACCTGCTAGGGACGCTGTACAATCATCATACATTTAAGGCCGGGTAACAGAGAAAATGGCGAAAATGAGGTTTTCATTTTTCATTTTTGAGGTACTAAACAGTAAAATAAAAGGCTAAGATTTTTTTTGGGCATAGTTGAGGATATTTTCTAGGGCTATTAACGGATGGAAACACGATTTGATGAAGTTGACTCGATAGAATAAATTCCCAAAGTTACCTCTATTCGTTTTCTAATAATGGTTTTATTTTTAAAATAAGCGATTTGAGATTCTGAATCTTTTACTAAACTAAAGTTCAGAAATAACTTGAGGGCTTTTAACGGATGAAATTTTTATATTGCGTCTTATTTAGTTACTATGTTAAAAAATGTGGAAAAAATCGCCCATGACGGCTTGGACAATCTCAATCAGTCGCGCGGTGGCGCTTACGGAGGACGGACGCGTGCCAGTTTTTTGGCCGTGACAGTTCTCGATATGTCAATATTTTTGACAATGATGACTTTGATGAGTCACAGTATAATAATACCAGTGTTACTGGAGAAAGCTAAAATTTTTGATATCCAATCGCTCAAGCTCCCAAGGGCCTACCGATAGGTCAGGTGACGTAATCTTGAAATTCTTTAAGCCGGCGCAGAACTTCCAGAAGGTCGGGCGACGCCACGGCCACTTTGAACAGTGTTTACTTCTGCAGTTATATTTTATATTTATTCGATTCTAGAATATATTCCCAAAAAGTCTGAAAGGTGTTTTAATTTGTATCACTTGGATATGATTTCTATTAGAAAGTGTTGTGAGTGTGACGCTTGAAGGGAAGGAAGTCAACCTAACCTAACCAACTGCGTATTTCTATACTGTGTAGCTGGAAATTGTGGCGGGAGCTCTTTGACGCGCTGTTTTCGGCGAAGAATTGCGCGCGCAGATTTTGACAGCGCGAAATACCTACTTTAGAAGAAATACCAAGCCTTAATGCATGTCATTTTTTACGCAGTCTCGTAGTCGCTAGCGGATGACGATCGATATAAAGTCGCACTAAGCCCACTGATTACGAATAGATCTAGAAAAACACGTGTAGTGACAGCGGTTAGTACTAGGGTCTCATTGTTTTTTTACAGAAGTACCTAGTTTATTATTGTTCCTTTCAACATAATCTAGGAAAATCGATTTTGATAAAAAAAAACTTGTATATTTTTCTTCATTTCGTCATTTATTCTGCATTTTAGTATTCATACATGCAAATGGAAGCATTATTAGTTTTATTCGTTTACATAGACGGTTTATAATAAAATGTCATTATCATCATAGAAAATATAATTTTTAGGGTCCCGTAGTCCTGACAAGGAACCCTTATAGTTTCGATATGTCTGTCTGTCCGAGGTTTTGCTTGGAAACTATTGGCACTAGAGAGCTTTTTGCGTTGGAGGTATGTATGTTACGGTCAAAGTGATAAATGTGAAAATTATGAATAATCGCCGGTTATTATGAATAATCACTGTGATTAATATGAGGTCATTTATGTGTGTATAAAACTAAATAGGCGGCTTAGGGGTGGCCCAAGGGCCACCCCCGCCGCACCTTAACCTATTTTTCACTTTAAATCAAAACATTATGTTATAGGCATCATGGAAAAGTAATATTATGCAAGAAACATTCCAAACTCATTATGCCAAATTATATTAATATATGATATCAAAACGTTCAAAAGTTTGGCTGTACACGAGCACGTACACAAGATGTTGTTCTCTTTTATGAAATTTGTTAGTACTAAGGGTGAATTATTAAATAATCACTGTTATATGTGATTAATTTATCACTTTAACCGCGACTGTCGGTAATTATTCATAATAGCCGGTTATTATTAATAATTTTCAATTTATCACATTAACCGTAACATGTAGATATATAAATCACGCCGACAAAACGGTAGAATAAAATTTTGAAAAAAACATTTTTTTAGGGTAGCTCCCCTACATGTAAAGTGGGGATGATTTTTTTTTCATCTTCTACACCATCGTGTAGGATATCGTTGGATGACTTGGGGGTTTCAAAGACTATTTTTCGATTTAGGGATCCGTTTGCAAACTATTAAAGTTTAAAGTGCCAATTTTTGTTCGAGCAGGGCCCTCTAAAAACTAGACTGTTGGCTTAAAAAATCTGGAAAAATTCATAATAATACTGCTTTTTATGAACTTTCAAGAAAACTATTACGGTTAGGGTAGGTCAGTTAGTTTAAGAGTAATAGTCATTTAACTCGTGTATTATAAAATTTCATAGCTAATAAAAATTCCTTAGAAGAAAATATTAAAAGCGACTTTAGATGAAGTAATTGCTTGCTTCTGAAATATATTTTGTTAACGACGGACAACTACGGAACCCTACACTGCGCGTGGCACGACACGCACTTGGCGAATTTTTTTACTTAAGAGATTTAAACCCAGTTTTCTGGCAAACTCTATTTCTCTATTTCTTGCGGAAAAAATTACGTGATATTTCCTGAGACCCCCCCTCTCCCCCACGTGAGATTTAGTGAGGTTTTTGTTGACCCCCTCCCCCCCCTAAAAGTCTCACGTAATTTATGGACGCCCCCTTACTCGCGCGGTTTTCGATAAGTTGTAACCTATGCGCTATTTTGGTGTATAAGCTAGAAAAAAGCCATCCAGTACATTTAGCGTGAAATAACAAACATCCTTCCTGACTTTTTATTATTAGTTATAAGTTGTGCCATCATCCTCTATCACACTTTCTTCATACATGTATGTTTTTGGCGTATAAGAATTCTTAAATCTTTGCTGTCAGCTCTCCCATTATGACTCGAACTTAATTCATCTCAGTGGCGATACCGGACGTTATTCATTGAAGACATAAATGGCACACAACAGCTCTGCTCTGCTGAGGCACAGAATAAGTAATAGTACAGGTACAGAAGGATTACTCCGCAAGACGATTTAAATAAATGCGAGTCTTGCTACGACGCGATACAGTGGAATTCAGCTCGCACAGCACTACGTACCTACAATTTTATTCACCTACAAGTTTTGTCTCTTTCTATGTCTAACTTATGTCTTTAAGACTAAACTTTCTATCGCGTGCCTCTGAACTCTTCTTACGCTGTTAGGGTTGCTGTCTAGTGAAAAAATAATTAATCTACTTATTTGTAATGAGGTACGTATGTAGGTAAGTATGCATTCATTATGGAAAACCTTCATAGTAGGTTAGGTTCCTATACTATCCTAAGAATTATTGATTACCTACATGGCCAACATACCTTTCAGCATCTTTGGGAAGCGAAAAAAAAAGATAAATCCGGTAGATTACTTTTCGAATTTAAACATCCGAACGCCGCACAATATTTCTTTCTCTTTATGTCCATTTTTAAATAATACTTCGATCATAGAATAATAATCATACTACTACAACGCACGCCACGCGCCAGCGTCCTGACGAGCGCGCGCATGACACTCGACTGATATAATACCTGCCGGCGGGGCGCTTCGCTGTAGGTAATTATCGGATGTACCGCGCGGAGTGAGCCAGGCCTGGCTGAGGTTAGAAGGAACTTAGGAAATGTTTTACCAAAAATAATTTAAATCGATTCCTCAACGAAACCACTACCACGAAGCAATGAGCGCCGTCCATTTAAAATTAGTTTCTAAACCCGCCAACAGATGTCGCTAGTGGTATCTGAGAATCAAATATCGAGTAAGGAAATCAATTTACAAAAAAAAACAGATGAGCTGCGACGTTACTATACCTGTCTCTTTCTAGGAGGGCCACTTGATAGGCGCGCCGCCCATGTCAGAGGAGGACAGCAAGATCAGGATGCTTCAAGTGCTGGCGCCGAATGCTATGAAAGCTTACAAACGCAAGAAACTTCTGCTGTTCCCATCGGCGGTAACTGGAAACATCTCTCAGGAGGTCTCCGAGATGGATCTGGATAGTGGCGATGGTTAGTATCGATGTTGAAACCATACTGATTGTTTTCTATTAGTTTCATAAAAATACGTAATACCTAAGTAAATACCTATTTCTCATTCTGAGCAGTGCTTACAGATGTAAATCATACTCAATGTAATGCAAGAATGTTCACTTTTTTCTTCGTTAGATAACTTAGTTCGTTCGTTTCAGCCGAAAGACGTCCATTGCTGGACAAAGGCTTCCCCCAAGGATTTCCACAGAGACCGGTCCTGCGCCGCTCGCATCCAGGCACCTCCTGCGTCCCTCTAACTTATTAGCAATGGAAAAAAGAAACCAAAATCTCAAGTCGCGATGACCTGTTCCTGATCTTACTTGAAAAATGTAAATAAAAAGTGAAAATCAGCACTTGCACTGCTTCGGGAGTTTTTGATTATTGACTTGATAATTTTCATAGTTATTAAATTTTTAGCGTTTAGAGTCGCATCTCAAACAATATTTCTGTTAGATGTAGGGTAGGTATACTTAACATTGATGAAACAAACGCTGGCTGTAACAGCGTATTACACTTGAAAATTTCGACGGGTTCATCCAGTGTCTAAGTAGCTCAGTTGGAAGAGCAGTCGCCCGGCAAGCGGAAGGTCGTGGGTTCAATTCCCGCCTTAGGCAGTTCGATTTTTTCAAGTTATTTATAATTTTCAAATTGATAATTTTCATCTCAATAATTTCTTCTTAATACTCCCACAGAAACAGCAGAATTCCCATCGGTCCCACCGCTCCCAGACGAGGCTCCGCCGCCGCCGCCGCCGCTGCCCGCGCACCCCCCTCCACCGCCCCCTCAGTCCCCGCCCCCGCCTCCTCAGTCCCCGCCCCCTCCTCCTCAGACCCCGCCCCCAAAACCAGAGACAACCGAAAGCAAAGTAGAGAGCGAAGACAAATCTGCTGAAACTGACGACATCGAAGTGGTTTCGGTGATGAAAGTCGGCGAGATACCCGTACCGGAGGTGCCGTCGATCACTATTGATGATGATGATGTAAGTAGACTTGATCACGTTTGTCCTAATGTATAAAGTTCTAATGTATCTAATGTATAAAAATAAATACCTATTTGGTCACGGCATCACGGATGAACGGCTAGATCGATCTTTGTTGTGGCTAACTTTTCTGATTTCTGTCCTATTTTTTGTGTGATTATTTGTCTGTATATCAAAATTGTTTGTTTCCATAATATAAATAAATAAATATTACTAGGAGAAAAGTTAACGGGACAACGTCTGTCAGGATAGCTAGTAGGTATAACATAAAGGATAGTGTTTTGCGTAGTTTGGAGCTAATGCAAAATTTTATTTGAATTTAATTATCGTAACCTTGACAAAAGTTTCAACATAAGTCATTTTCATTTTAATCAATTCGTTAGCGTTACTGCGCAATTTCATAGCGTTTTGCCTTTACAAAATAGCCTTTTCTCTTAGTCATAGCTATGACTATACATTTAATATGAGAACATTATTTATACCGTTTTCTAACATACTAATAAAACTGTCTTTCCTAGGAAAATGGCGAACCGAAAAGCGGCCGCACAAGCCCATCCTTGGACGATTTGGAAGAGAAAAAACGGCGGTTACTTAGCGCGCTGCAGGGAGGTGAACTCACTGACAATGAGGCCGAGACTGACAAGGAAGTAGAAACGCCTCAAGATGACGAAGCAGTTGCCCAGATTGCTGAATCTGAAGAAGTAGCAGGTGACAACCCTAACACGACTACAGAGATAGAGCCCAATGACAAAGAAATTGCAATTGAAACTGAAGATGACAAAACTACGGAGAAAGGTAAAGACACAGCTTTAGAGAAAGAAAGCAAAGATACGACTCCGGAGCAAATACAGTCTCCCATTGCTAAAGGAAAAACTGACATCGCCAGTGTATCGACATCGGATCCCAAAACTGGAAACGTGAAAACTACGCTATACGGCACTCCCGTGATTAACGTCGCCTCTCCGTACCTCAAACTCCCGAGTGACGACAAGTTTGCCAAAGACATTTGTGACGTTATAAACTTTGAGAACCTCCCAAACTCGACGGGGAAATACAAACAGATCAGCAGTATCCTAAAAAAGGTTAAAACCCAAGTGGACAGGATACAAGAATCATGATCGTAACCTCACACCTCATAGGTGTCAATGGAATTGTTAATACTTAAGTTTAACGAGAAGTACTATTTCTAAGTCAGAGGAAGTATTTTTGTACTGCCTAGGAATATGTTCAGGTATGAACAACATTTTTGAATATTGTTATATTATTTTGGGGTATTCCAACGTTTCCCAGAGACGAAATTTCCGATTACTAGGTAATTACGAGAAACCGATAAAAATATTTTTGCACTGCCTAATAAAATTGACATTTACATTCCTGGGATACCGTAATACCCCTATTCAATCTGGGTTATGGGGCGTCACACACCACTTTTTACACCATTTTAAGTCATATTCTCATAGTTCTCTACGGCTAGCACGAAAAACTTTCGAGTTCGAGTCGTTTGCGTATTCGAATCGCCCATCAAAAGATTTAGTACGAAAACTACAACAGCGCCCTTGTGAACGTGTCGTATTGTGAACTTAGTATTGAGAAATGGTTGCACGAAACTTATTTTGAGAATCAAAATTGTCACGTTATCGTATAATTCGAACGTTGAGTATCGAATTTTTTCAAATACGCAAACGATTCGAAGACGAAAGTTGTTAATGCTAGAGGTACTGGGTCGTGCGCGAATTGCGTTTCGTTTGTTTTCTCCGATAAAACCTGCGTACGCGCCATTGTTATGTCATGCCTTGTAACAGACCTATCTATTCCTAAACTCTAGTACAAGTCACTCCCATACCCCATAACATAAGTTTGTTACCGTTTTACTATTACGTGCTCTTGAAGACAGACTTTCCTTTTGAAAGTGTCGATGTTGTATTGTAAATAAGTACTTCTAAGTTGGTAAAATTTGTTTGAAATTAGAAAATTTAGAAATACCTATGTACTGCATTTTTAGGGTTCCGTAGCCAAAATGGCAAAAACGGAACCCTTATAGTTTCGTCATGTCCGTCTGTCCGTCTGTCCGTCTGTCCGTCTGTCCGTCTGTCCGTCTGTCCGTCTGTCCGTCTGTCACAGCCGATTTACTCGGAAACTATAAGTACTACAGTGATGAAATTTGATGGGAATATGTGTTGTATGAACCGCTACAAAATTATGACACTAAATAGTAAAAAAAAGAATTGGGGGTGGGGCCCCCCATACATGTAACTGAGGGATGAAAATTTTTTTTTCGATGTACATACCCGTGTGGGGTATCAATGGAAAGGTCTTTTAAAATGATATAAAGTTTTCTAAAAAACATTTTTCTTAAAGTGAACGGTTTTTGAGATATCAGCTCTCAAAGTCGTAAAAAGTATGTCCCCCCCCCTCTATTTTTATAACTACGGGGTATAAAATTCTAAAAAAAATAGAGGTGATGCATGCTAATTAACTCTTTCAACGATTTTTGGTTTGATCAAAGTATCTCTTATAGTTTTTGAGATAGGTTGATTTAACTGTAATTTTGGTTAAGTTATTGTGCTTACACTGAAAACGATGGCTGAACCTTATAAGATAGATCAAAAAATATACTACAGTATTGTACACCTTTTAAAATCCGCGATGATATAAAATCTTTATAATGTAGGTACTTTTTACGAGAAATATTAGCTTATTCAAGCAATACGCCATTAATCCTTATCCAGTAATGTACCTTAAATACATTGTGCATTTGATAAAGTTTAATATTACAAATGTGATTGTTGAGTAATAATAGGTTAAACATATCCATCGAACCAATATTTTTAAAACGCGTTAATCCTATAGATTATTATTACATCGATTCAAGAAGATCGGTCGCTCGCTGCGCTGCAGCGCGTGAGTTGCGGGGCGTGGTCTCGCGCGGGAGCGGGGATAAGATAGCTAACCGCGTCGACCCGAACGGGCAGACACGTGAGGGCAGACGTCGTTGTCACTTGTGCGCGCTAAGAGAATTTCATCGTTCCCATTTACTTCTTTCGCAAGTCGAATTTGGCGTTGAGACTTTTTAATATTGAATTGTACCTATTATAAAAAATAAGTAAGTAGGTATACTGGTTTAATAGGTGCTATTAAACCGGTCACGTACTAATAAATCCCCCAATAATATAAATTCCTTTGTTTTTGGTGCAAATTTTAGTGTTTCGTAGCAGGTTTTTAAAATTTCTAAAGCTTATTGTATATCATCTAACAATGGATACTTTAGATAATACGTTTTCCTACATTCTGAATTATAATAACTATATCGAAGATGATGTGGTTCGCGCATTTCATGAAAAGTTACTTCGGTGCACATCATTTAGACCGCGTGAGCTAGAATTATTTCAACACCCTGAACTGATTGAACCTGTACCTAAAAATGAGACGCACCTTCAAGTAATTTATGACGGTGACGTGGGATTAGTGGGGCACTGGAGTTGTATTTATTACATTAATGGAATACTGCGTGTGTACGATAGTCTTGTTGGTGTTCTAGGAAAATCGCAAAAAATATATGTAAAAGCCTTGTTTCCGTATCTATCGGAGTCATGTATTCAGTTTCCAAGTGTTCAGCGACAACCGAATACTATTGATTGTGGTTTGTTTGCCATTGCTTTTTTATTGTATAATAAAGTTGTATTTGTAATATCCGTCTTTTATTGTAACATTTGTGGAACTAATCAAAAATTTTAATGAAAAAGCGTTCAGTAAATTTCATGCTTCCTTTGATATGTAATGTTTTTGTAGCAAGTTTAAATATAAGTTAAAATAAAACAAGGTCATTACAGTTACATTAATTTATTTGAAAGACAATATAAGTAGAATCTCGATAGGTTTTACAATATCATACCTGATAACAATGTGGAAATTATCCTAATCGTAAAATAAACCCATCCCATGAAAAACAAAGCTAAACAAAAGGCTAGAAAATAAAAAGCGATCTTCGCATGGCCGAACGTTTAATATAATAGAAAAAACAAATAAATAATTTGCTTGCGTTATTTCTAGCCACAGAAGATTGTAATAATTATAAATATATTAATGAGACTTGTATCGATCTATCACTTGTTACAATATGTATCACAGCAATCTACAGACCAGGCTAGTCCGAATTGTGGATGTTATTTGTCATTTTCCTAATATTATACAAAGTCAGATCATAAAATTTTACAGAAGCATTTGAACCAGCTCAAAATGTCTCAGAATTGAACCTAATTTGTGTTGTATCTAAGTTCATTTAACACAAACTTTCAATCTAAATTATAGCACCGTAAATAAAATACTTGATAGTCATAAGGTTTGTGAAATGTCCCCAAAATTTCGTACAAGAATTGCTTGGGCCTGGCTTGGATGGCCCAAATACATTCTCAAGACATGCAGAATCGAACTTAACAGCCAATAATTTTATTATTGTAACACATACGCTTACTGCGAATTACTTTATGCCTATACACAAGATCTTACGAGGTTGCCTGCCGCTTAGCGCGGCGGAGCGCAGCCCCAACTAATGTTTTCTATACTTTAATATCATACATATATTACTGGAATCCAAATAGTGCACGCGGCGCGACCGGCCAGACGATCCTGAATGGAATTAAATTCTAGGCGGAGTTGGAGGGGCGTCATCACGATCCTGAAATAGACAACAATCCATGAGAAAATAGTCCTAGGTATTCTCTAGGGCATACAGTAGGAAATCGGTTTGCGTATTGTATGGTTATTGGGACATAAAGCTTGAATTTTAGGCTAGTTTCCTAAAAAAAATTTTTTAGTCCGTCAAATTTAATATAAAAAAATATTGGACACGTATATTTTTAATTGTCAATCACACAAATAATTACAAAGTTATAGTGCGTTGAAGTTCCGCGCGACGTCACAAAGTGCTCCACTTTTACGCACTCACTGACGTCACGGGCTATTTCTGTAGAATTTTGGCACGCTTTATCTCTTTACATTTTCATTAGTTTTAAAAAGTGAAAAATAGGTGTCGAGTAGTTTTTGATAAGCTAACTGACGGACTAATTAAAACTTGCTTTTTTACCCAGGAAACATCCCTTGTTTGAGCCGTACCAGACGTCTATGCCATGGCGAGTCATAAAAGATGTAGGCTTTTGACGGTGTCATTGCTCACGTGATAAAAGAAGGAGATGAGATTCATCTATTTGATTTGATTTCACTAAAGAGACCAAGGTTTCACAATGAATGCTCAAAGTAAAGTTTATCAAAAATAACAGCCATATATGTTTACTTAAATGCCAAACAGTGACAATGGATGCAACCTTGGATAATCCAAAAGGCAGATTCGAATATGACGTCATCTGCATAATGTAAACCAAGATAAATAACACTTTTTCAAGAATAATTATTACTGATAGGCATTATAAATAACTAGTGATTAAGAGCCTATTCTCACTAGCGATTTGTTCGGTGTGCACGCGACTATCACGCAGCGTACACGAGGAGAACAAGTGACATAAAAGTCGCGACAATCCGTAAAAAGTCGCAACTTTAACAATCGTACTACCACGCGCTAGCTAGCCGGCAGCTTGTCTACTATATAAAAATAAGTCGGGTTTTCCTCCCTGATGCTATAACTCCAGAACGCACGAACCGATTTCCACGGTTTTGCATTCGTTGGAAAGGTCTCGGGCTCCGTGAGGTTTATAGCAAAGAAAATTCGGGAAAAGGGGGTAAAACAGGATCCACGCGTACGAAGTCGCGGGCGGCCGCTTGTTGTTTATAAATATTAGACTGAAGCGTGCATTAACCGATCTCAAATCTTAGGACAAATGAAAATACTATACTCTAGTATGAAAATACTTTTTAAATAAACACAGATTGATTTTGTTCATTACGTACGAGTATATGGATGCGCAAATGTTGCAGATAAGTTTACCTCCCTCAGAATTACTTACTCATGTGGTATCTACTTTATAACACATTGTGGTATTATAAAGTAGGTAGTGGTTAGAAAAGCTTCTACCAAATTATCCCGTTCGCAATTTTATTATTATTACAGTTATTGATAAGACTAATTATTATTATTTCCCATGGGATTACCAATGGTATTTTTGATAAAAGAAACCATTAAAGCAATAATTCAGGAAAATTGTTATAACATTCGGAAATCAAGTTCAATCTTTATTAGGTCGGATTTTGAATAATTCTTCCGATCGTTAGTCAAAATGTATTAACTATGCAATAATTAATAATGATATGTAATGGCATTCGTAATTAAATGTGTCGCTGGCCGGGCAAGTAATTTATTGTTAAACATTGTTATAACCCAATAATCTATTTATGGGCAGGCCTCCCACTAGGTGGACTGACGATCTCGTGAAGGTCGCGGAAAGAACCTGGATGCGGGGCAACGCAGGACCGGTCTTTATGTAAATCCTTGGGGGAGGCCTTTGTCCAGCAGTGTACACTCATTTGGCTGAAACGAAAGAACGAATCTATTTTACATAATTTTTCCAAAAATTCTCATAACCAGTAACAGGCACTTGCATCATGGCATTTGTTATGTTAATTACCAATTATTTTACCATTATTAAACGACTATAACGGAATAATTAACCCGTCAAATGACTGCTATTAATTTTCACATTAAAAATAGATTTATCAGCCCTTAATTTATCCTCTCAATCAAAGATTGTTTTCCGTGATGTCAATAATATTTGATTGGAAAGATAAATAAGATGCTTCCTAAACAAAATAAGTTTTTAACCTTATCTTACGAGATAAAACCAAATTCTATTAGCTCTACCCTGCCTATATTTCTATAAGGTGTCGGCGGCATCAAGTTAAAAATCATAAGAACTGCGAAACTGTGAAAAGGAGAAGACGAATGTGTTTACTATTGGTTATCAAGAAGATTAGGCCGGAAAAAGCTTATTTATCATGATAGTACCTAATTACAATACCGCGAACGCACGCACCAATCAGCGACGCCCACGCAAAGGTTAAATAGCTATTAACAGTTACACTGCATTTGTAATCCTTACAATACGGGTCACTGTACAATTAGAAACCCTTCTGTAAATTAATTCTCCGCCTATATGATAGGATAGGATTGAGAATGTTTTAGAACCACATAGTTCTAAAACATGTATCTTACTTTAGAGTGGTTCAGGTGGGACTTGAACTTATGGCCTGTTATTTGCGAGCGACTGTTCTGACCGCTGAGCTTGTTTCAATATTGGTGATCGACAACATAACATCTTTCCGGACACCGTACAAGCTTCACACAAATCTTCATTTTCATGCGCTTCGAATTTTTAGAATAGCATTCAAAAAGTTGTAATAAAAAGCGCTCTGAAATTTAGCTAAATCGCGTGTTATCGAAACTTTCGATTCTACAATATAGGCAACAAAGTTGATAAGACATGATCCAGGATTACGCCACTTGCATGTCATTCTGTATTAGCGACGACACCTCAAGCTAAAAACTGTAGAAACCCTGCTCTAAAATGACGTGGGCAGAACTTTCTGAACCTATCGCTGATGTCTGATTCACTCTCAAGTGTTAGTTGGCAATAACAATGTTTTGTTTAATCTGATATGTTGTCTCTATGCTTAGATCAGTGGTTCTTAACCTTTATGTCACGAGGGACCATTTTACCAAATTTATGTCTTGTCAGGGACCACTAGTTTTTTCAAAATCCTATGAAAGGGGAGGTTGATTTCTCGCCCATTGTGCGCCGTTTGCCTAAATCGACTCATCACGTCACGTCACATGTTTATTACGATGTCTTCGTGGACCACTTGGAATGCCTCCAGGGACCACCAGTGGTCCGCGGACCACCGGGTAATAACCACTGGCTTAGATGAACCCTGCAAAAACAAAACTCACTTGGAAACCGGAGCCGGGGCCGGGTTTGGCGGCGTCCTGTATCTGGTTCCTGCGCGGACGCAGCGCGTACATAAACATGGCGACGGCCATCATGATAAACATGACCATGAAGCTGTTGCCCGCTCCGGCCGCCGCGGGAACGCCCGGCAGCTCGTCGAGGCACTCGCTGTCTGTGCAGTACGACTGGCCTTGCCGTAACTGGAACATTTGAAGGATTTTGAAGTTGTCTTCGGCCGCATATCCACTAGACCAGGGATGGCCAACCAATGGCACTGCCACTCGCCAGTGGCGCCCCTTGTACGATGCCCCCTCATTGCTAGCATTAAGTGGCACGTCTACGACTACATCAAATTATTTTTAGAAAAGCGGCATGTTGCTACACAAAGGTTCGCCATCCCTGCACTAGACTCTAGCCTTGTTCCGAGGCAGAGCAAGTGGGGACACTGCCTCAACCGTCCTGAGGCAAATTCGTCGCCGCGAGCCGAGCCTTATTGTGTCGCATCGGCCCGAGATTGCCTCTAGTGGATACGCGACCTTCCACTTGTGAAACTTGGAAAAAATTAGACGATTATACGCCAGTGGAGAGTTAAAGAGTCAAAGCTACTGTAATTTTCTTCACTGGTCGACACTGGCAGTGGCAGATTTAAATATTTACCGCCACTACGCAATTTGATACATAATTTATCTTACCTACTTCGCGATTAATTTGCCGCCCCCTAAAGTCTACCGCCCTAGGCTCAAGTCTACTCAGCCTCATGGTAAATCTCCTACTATCACTAGGAAGAAATGAGTAGCTTTGTCCCTTCAGTGGTGAATATGAATACTGCGGAATAACTATCAAAAAAGATTCGATATTCATTCTCCACTAATGCAGACTGCATGCGGATGCATTTTACTGACACTTTTCGCGTGAAGAAATTACGATTTGAAATGTCTGTTGGACAATCACAAACGTATTGTATAAGCTAACAGCAATAGCCTGCCATTACGAGCGTTCACTATCATTGTAACTGCGTCCTGTAATTGTCTCCTGGCTACTGCGACGTGTAGCTACGCTCAGTGCCAAGGCCGTTACGAATTGAGATTAACTTAACTACACTCAACATCAAATAAACCGCACCTTCCGCGACGTGAACTTTAAAGATTTTCTTTTGACACAATCATGGTACCCCAACAATATTGGTGTTATTTGAAAGCCCAATAAATATCCTTAAAGAAAAACACATTTAATTTCTTAATAAGTTATTAACATATACCATAAATGTGACTTGAAAAAAGACCTCACTTTGGGCTCATCCCTGGGATCAATTAGACCAAATTTTATGGTTACAAAACCAATAATGATCACACGTGTCCTCCTTAACAGATAGATAGCGATTAATCCCAACTTAACAGTTTTATAGCCATAAAAGTTGGCTCAAGCGTAACTACCTATTTTTTGAAGAACTGACTCTGGATCCTTCTACAGACACATTTTTGGGGTAAAAACTAGAGATGAAACGGATATCCGGCAACTATCCGGTAGGCCGGATATCCGGCCTAAATTTACTATCCGGCCGGATACCGGATAGTAGCTCACTATCCGGCCGGATACCGGATATTAAAAAATCTACGAAAATTTCCTATAGTAAAATGAAACATTAATCTTTGAGTCAAATATCAATAAAATGGCTTATAATAATGACGGTATTTAAGTAAAGTCCAAAAAGTTACAAAAAAGCCATATTAAGGCCTTTCAAAAAACTAATTTCTTTTCTGGGCTATTCACTCTAATGACGAATACATAAATAGTAAATATTTTATATTTAATGTCGAAATATTGCCAAATAAAATAGGCGATCTTTTTTTTGACTGATGGTCTGATGACATACAGGGTGACTTTGAAATCGTTGGCATCCTTTTAATATAAGACTACTCATGATACATGGTGCTCTTAAAAAGAGTTTAAAACTATTGTACAGTCAACAGCACATGATCCTATACATTTTGTTGCAAAATAACACTAAATACATTGAAATAACATGCCACAATATAAAGATTGATGTGCTGTCGTCTGTACAAGATTTCAAATATTGAAATTTTAATTCAATTGATATGACTCATATTTGGGGAATTATTTTAAAAAGAATGCCAACGATGTCAAAGTCGCCCTGTATAATGCAGTTCATTTAGATTACGCAGCAAGTAAACTTATTGAATTTTCGCTATTCAATCACATACTCACGATGGCAACCGAAATCGCCCGAATTGATCTGCCCCTTAGACGAGTGGCAGACATTCTATTCGAACGAATTCGATTTTCGAAAAGTGTGACTTGTCTAGTCTACTAGACCTACTGATCGCGTTCGAAGCACCTGTGCAGCGCTAAACTCGTTACGACATGCAACATGACAATGGGACAACTATCCGGCCGCCGGATATCCGGCTATCCGGCCTAGCAGCTCGCCGGATATCCGGTATCCGGTATCCGGCCAAACAACTATCCGTTTCATCTCTAGTAAAAACCTTTCCTTTAATGAAACGACGTTTAGAACTAGGCTTTTAAATGGTGCCAATATTGGTAGGAAGTGGGGATGCATACGTTTGAAAGTGCTTGTCGCGGGAGGTGCGATTTATTTGATGTCGAGTGTATATTTGTCTTGGTTAGAATAACTTTAAATTTTTTTTATTTTTATTTTTTATGCATAACAAGGCAGGAATTTGACCGCAATCGCACTGATCTCTTCATTCATTCTTATCTCATCAAAATCAGGTTATCATAATATATTCTCTAATAAGAAAAGCCAGTGTAGGACAGCTACATAAAGAATTGATTCATCGGATGGTTAAAGCGTGTGTTAAGTTAATAAAGATATCCAAAATCCAAACAAGGGCACATCAAGCCAGATATTATAGCACCTAAGTACATGAATGTAACTGCTATTTTGCAACAACAACGTATAGTCTGATGTGCTACTCTGTGGTGTATAGCGGGCAAAATAAACAAAAAACAAATTATTGATTTACAAAATTCTATAAAATATTGAAACAAGAAAATATCTTGTACTTGTTGATGTTTTCAAATGTATCAGGCATATTGTGGATGTGGGACTCTAAACAATTTAACTGGCACATAGATAAAATGTGGAATTGTAATTTGTAGATAAGACTCCCCGATATTGATAAGGCATGTTGAAATCTATGGTACATATCATTAATTTTATAAGTTAAGTTTCTACAACATTAATTAACTATCTTTACCTACCTACTTATGGCTACAAATAAAAGTAGCAAAATATCATCATCATAGAAGTTTTCCACATATCCCAAGCACTTAAAACATCATTCCTGTCCAAAAATCAGCATTTCTTTAACTCCGGTGACTTTAATTGCCAATAAAATAAATATTTTATAGTTAGAGTGGAGTCAAAATAATTGCTTGTTAATGAAAAAGATAAGAAATCCATTACTTGGATGTAACTTTTAAAAATACACTGCAGTTTGTATTATTTTCCTTTTATTTTAAATTATTCAAGGGTAGGCAAATTAGTGTCTTATTAACTACACATAAAATTCAAATTGGCAGACGATGGTATAAAAATTCCGATTAGAATATTATTGTGGACGTGGTACACCCACTTGAACACACAGAAACCAAGGTCATTCAATAACTTCTTACCAAGGAGATGAGTCGCCGCATTGCCAGCTCGTGGTTCCAGAGGCATTCACAAGGATCCATCTCATCTGCCATGGCTAGAAAAATATATTACCACATAAAATCACTATGTAATATCGCTACGGCTCTACAGACAACACCACAATCGACAAGTTTTAGGGCCAACACTATTCTCAAAATAACACTAAACAAACGTCGCAACAATATGGTTCACCATATAAAACCAGATTGATGATGATTACATCAACAATGGGGACGTAGGCAGGCAATCAACGTCTTGTTTTTATTTACAAATATGTACAACAAAACATTGATCAAGGATCATCTGTCACAAGAGAAAGTAGAAATCTTGATTTCTAACAACTACATACCTGTGTATAGGTTGAGAGTATTATAAAATGAGAAAATTTGCAACAAATAAATTACAATAAAAGCGAGTGCACTCGAGATTGCTTTTGTCGACCTAACAAGCAAAATATTAGCAATTATCTACACTTGCGACGACATTTTTTACACTGTGTGCCTGGAGGTCGGTGATTGGTCGGCCCGTGAAAATGGACAGCCAATCAGGTTTCTGGGTGACCCGTAATGAAAATTAAATGCTGCCATTATAAATAAAAGAAATTTAATAGTAGTTTTTCTTTAAAAAACTGAGAATAAGAAACTAAAGGAAAATGTTTAACTTTATTAATTTAAGTAATTCATTTCAATTAATGCACATGCATGCATTATCTACAATCTGTACATGTTTCAACACCTGTTTTACACCAAAGAGACCATCACTATTTGCTTTTTTACTACATAACCAACCAAGTATGGATTCAGTTGTATGAAATAAATAAGGCCTCTAAGCCTCTAACAATATTAAGGCTTCACTCGAGGTCATTCTTTAGTACCTAAATTTATAGCCTTTAACCTTTTGAGCCGATTTGGCTATTAAAGGCTGATTGAGTTAACTGAATAAGTACCTACAGTCACGGTAATACTATCATACAGTATTGTAACTTCATATAAACGGACGAAACGCGAGCTTTCCTTCGAAATTCAAACCTCGGTATGCGCTCGACATGCAAAAGTCGGGGGTGTCGCGAATGTGCCACAGTAACAAACGGACGATGTGTTGTTTTTTTAACAGTAAGGGCTCTTTTTTTATAAAAATAATTACAAGTACTTATTTATACAGGGTGTTAGGTAAATGGGTTTATAAGCCGACACTAGCGCATGTCATAATAATCAAGCATTTTTTACGCCTCAGTCGAGGCGCATACATTTTACAGTCGCAAAATAAGATTTGTTACTAAATCTTAACACAAATATATATTTTTTAATAAATATAGCTACTATTCACAAAACAACATGCATTTTTATCATATTTCATTCAAGAAGTATTTCGTTTGTCAAAATAAAATAAAAATTACAATCACAAAATACATTCACAAAACTACATACTTAGATAGAAATTCTAAGTAGGCAGATGTAATGAAAATAGGGTCTGCAGGTGGGCAGCCCTATCGCATGTAGAGATGGGTTTCCACCCGGGTAAAAACCCACATGAGGGTAAAAACCCAATGAAAACCCGTTTCATTCCACCCGTGGGTGTTTACACCGGGTGAAAACAAATAATTTTGTAATTATTTCAATTGGTATCTTTTCTTTATTTTTATTGAATTTTTCTCATTTAAGTTTATTGATTAATAAGTAATAAGTCAAATTTAACACTAATATGCATTTATATCGTGGCCAAATCGTAAAATTGATCACGTTATGATGATGTGACCAATTATTTTATAAAATGGTGTTATTTCAAGAATCGTTGAACCGATTTAGAAGAAATTTAGTAGGAACACAATAATTTGTGATCATGGCAAGGACATGGAGGGGGGGATGCCAAAGATGCCAAACTCTCTCTTTGATGACATTACGGTATAAAGTTACAAATAACAACACCAACTACAAAGTACTTCTGCTTAAAAACTTGAAATCGAACCGCCCTTCCGCCACTGTAACGCATTGTAACGTTTTTCAAGACCTCCTCTCCCCCCAGATTGCATTACGTAACACTAGAACGCCCCCTTAGCAACAAATACCACTTCTCACTTTTAAAAAACGCTATTTTTGTTTTCACCCACCAGAATGGGTGATAATGGGTAAAAACCGGGTTTTTACCCAAATCACCCAGTTTTAACCCAATCGGGTGAAATGGGTTTTTACCCACTACCCATCTCTAGCGGGGACAGGGTAGGTTATGTGGGGCTCACCAAGTCAGAAGGACAAAGGCATACCCACTAAAAAGACCCCGGTGCTCCTAATAATGAAACCGTATCTATTTCTGCGACGTGTCGCGAACGCAATCAATCCAAATCCGATGTAAATTTTATTATTTTAATTTTAAACAGCTCATCGTATGCTAAACGACTCGAGTTCTTTATTAAAAGACTCGCGAGCGACTAACTTGTGAGTTTTTTTAATAAAGAACTCGAGTCGTTTTATTTCTGAGTCGTATTAATTTATAATGACTTGAGTTCCCTCAGTTTAGTAAAGAGTCTTGGCTTGAGTCGTATTTTTAGAGTCGAGTCTTGAAAATCGAGTCTAGTCCTAACTTAAAGGACTTAAAAGCCTCGAGTCCTTTCATCTCTAGGTAATACTTACCAACTATCTATGTTAGCCATCCAAAGTCCAGACAAAATGCTAATGCTAGCTTTTTCCATTTAATATTACTTCAAAGGCTGTTTCAAAGGATACCTAATCCGTTTTATGCAAGAAAACTATCACCATGCAGCCAGCCTGGCTTACCTAGCTATAAGTACGACACATAAAATGATTTTCATCTTGGACATTGAAGTTAATACCTACTCGAAAAGACAACATATCCAATACCCATACATCAATACTACCTAAAGTAGTTAGGGAGAAGGGTATTAGTTTCATATGTCAGTGCTGCTAGTCAACTAAATTCAAAATCTGACTAGGAATGGGATTACTTAGTTGAGTAATAAGTTAGTACCTTAAGTTACTTCTTTATACACTTCGGTTTAAATACCATGTTAAGGCGTGGAGTGCTTGTCGATTGTTTGTTTAACTTCAATAAGTCATAGTTTTTCATTATACAATTGAATGTTCGAGTAGATATCATTTTAATTTAGAGAACAGTTACCTAGTATCTTATCTTAAACAACTAAACCTATTACACTTAATAAGAGGAAGGAGAGTTATTATACGAGCACTTTAATTACCAATCCAATTTTTCATATAGAGACGCGTAGAAATTCTAAACAAAGCATCAATTTACCTTTTTAACGTGAGTAGGGGTTCCCAATTTGATCAGTCAGTATCTCAACGCGTTCCATTATAAAATAAGACATCCAAAAATATCACTCAATCTTCTCAAGAGCAATGTGTACGTATGTTAGGCGCAATACACACGATCTAATTGCTGAAAGGTCGCGAAGGGCGTGTCACCGCTCGCCCCGCCCACCGCGACGAGGGCGGGCTCCGCCCAACGCTAATTGAATAAATTTAATCTTGACGCCGACCGATAAAATGTCCCCGGTGAGTTCTAATAGGTATGTAAGTCCAGTATGGACTTAGATATTCCTCTAGGATTTATCAAATTTCTTTTTAGCTAAGAGCGCTCGATAAAGTTTAAATAGTAGTTTCTTCTTTACTTTAAATTGGGTCACTATTTTGTCTAGTTGCCCGTATTAAACGTACTCGTACATTAGCAAGATTTGCTAAGAAAATACTTTTTATTATGTAGCTACTTTGCATGTAGGTAAGCACCTAATTACCGTGGAAGAGCCGTTTAGATGTTACTACCTAACTACATGTCTACTACTAAAAGCGACGACTGGAATTGAAGTTGTAAAAAGTGTAAATCACTTACATTGGAATATTTTACCATTGCTTCTATTGGTATGTGTTATAACTAAATGGATATAATTTAATTGAGACATTGTTGTTTGAAATTGGTAAAACGTTTTTTTTTGGTCAGGATCTCTCTCGTAGGATTTCAATGCAGCTGTAGTACCTACGTATAATATACAAATCACTCCTATCATCAGATATGATAGAGTTGCAACTGATTTTTTTTCTGTAATAGTTAATTACCGTGGAAGAGCCGTTTAGATGTTACTACCTAACTACATGTCTACTACTAAAAGCGACGACTGGAATTGAAGTTGTAAAAAGTGTAAATCACTTACATTGGAATATTTTACCATTGCTTCTATTGGTATGTGTTATAACTAAATGGATATAATTTAATTGAGACATTGTTGTTTGAAATTGGTAAAACGTTTTTTTTTGGTCAGGATCTCTCTCGTAGGATTTCAATGCAGCTGTAGTACCTACGTATAATATACAAATCACTCCTATCATCAGATATGATAGAGTTGCAACTGATTTTTTTTCTGTAATAGTTATTTGTTGGTATGTGCGTCACGTCACCTCTCCTGGGAAAATTCTTATACAGAAATCAGATAATGGCATGTTCAATTACGTCTCTATTATATCATGAGAACAACGCACCACAATAAATCAAAATCCATCATAGCATTGTAATTACAGTAAGCACTAAAAGTCCTTGTCCAATTTTCCATTTCCACCTTTACATCTACGGGTGTAAAGAAAAGAAAACCCAAAGCTAGTTTTCTTGATCAGCAACGGATGTTCTCCTACATTTTATTTTCAGCCTTATTCCTACAGTTATAAAGAAAAAGAAGATACTTTTCTAGACGATCAGCACAGTCGGCGTCAGAAGTGGCGTTCCCCATTATTTAATTTTCAGCCTTATCTTTACAGTTATAGAGAAAAAGAAGCACACGCTTTTCTTAAGGATGAAACAGTCGGCAACAAAATTTCCATTGCCTATCATAACATTTTCAGCCTTATTGCAACAGCTATAAAGGACACAATCCCAAGCATGACTAGTCCTAGTGCCGCGCCCAGCAGGCAGGGCGGGCTGGTGTCTGGCACCCACGCCCGCGGCCACTCTGGCCCGGGCACCGCGCCGCGCGGACATGGCGCGACATCTGGGCCCGCCGATCCGCACGTGAGTACTCAGCTTTACTTTCAAAGTTTTTTACGCTTGTTTTAGAAGTTCTAACATCAACTTCTGGGTTTAATTATGCTCTGTTTCACATTAATTTAACGAAACGTCTCTAAGTACCTACATTTTAGAGTGACAAAGTTTAGTTTTTACTGTTTTCTGATATGAATCTCTCAAGTGTGAAATAAAAAAAAAACAATTTAACAGTTCCGATTATTGAACTAAATAAAGCTAATTTGAACAAAAGTACTTACCTGAAGCCATTGATTTTTAAATTACTGGTTGTAAGACGTGTTCGTACATAAAAGGAAATTGCAGATTTGATATTTTACGTAGACCTACATTTAAATATTTGAATTTCATATTTTATCTTTTTTATATAGAGACTTAATTAAAATCAACATAATATAGGTACATTACTACAAAGCTGAAAAGAACCCTCGTAGCGTAAGAGAGCCAGTAAGAGGGCCAAAACGAGTGTTTTATGCTGC